AAAGAAACAAATTACAACAAATATCATTCAAATATCATTAACAACGTTGCGATCACTCAGGGATGAAAATTAAAACTAATACATTTCACATCTGTCTATGCAGTGCGTGACTAGCGTGCGACTACACTGTCGCTGTGTCTCTCAATCAAGCAAGACATAGCGACAGTGAATGAGAGAAAATTTAATTAAGGCGATGGCGAGCGTTAGTGTAAAACCGATTTCAGTATAGGTTAGCTTTTTCAAAACCGATTATCCCATTTAGTTTATTTCTCTCAAAATTACAAATTTCATACAAATACTATTACATGTAATTTTATACTATTCTTCGAAACGTCTTTTTACAAAATAATTATATAACAGTGAGTCATAAGTATACAATAGTGTACATAAACAAATCAACATAATTAATGAAACTAAATAAATAATTGAATTAAACTAACATAATAGGCGCCTTGACGTTACACCAAGTACCAAGTAAACTAACAAAGCCAAGTGTATACGGGAAAATGTCAATATGGATTCTTAAAAACTAATAAATGTATATTAAAGAATAATAATACGGTGAATGTCAAATTCATTAATAAGAATAATTTATTTATTATTTTTTATTATTCATTAATTACTTTGAGCGTTCTAATGGAAAATATATTTCATCAGTTATCGATCAAAATAATCCGGTTTATATAAACTGATTCCAGTACCAAGTCATAATTGTAAGCAAATCTTAGTAGGAAAGGAAATTTAAGGAATAGAAGAAGAAATATTTTCATTCCATGTACGGAAAGTTGTTGAAGAGAAACTTAACGATTATTGTCAGTTTGTTTATTTGTAATAATATGTTTGTTTTCTTAAGGCGCTGGAAAAGCACTGCCGGGTGGACGGCGGGTACACGGGTCTCGTCAACGTGTACCACCAACAGCCGCAAGGAGATGATGTGCAGCAGAGCTTCTTCTTAGCAGAGACGCTAAAGGTTGGTTAGCTTTTAAGGTTTTTATTGCGTATTTAATTGTACTTACGATGGGTACTAAGATATTTGAATTTATACATTGCATGCATACTTTTTTTAACTAATTTCTCAGCCGTGTTTCAAAAAGAAACTGTCACTTTGTTACAATGTGTCCAAAATAAACTATAATAAAAAAAAATATTCGTTGCAATTATAATATAAAATATAAAAAATAAATTACCCCAACTACGCGATGCGCAAAACGGAATGTTCCTATATAGTATCCACAATAGAATATCTATAAATTTTTACACCACAGAATCGATAAATAGCCGATTGACTATCAAATCGTGTACCTCGCGTCAGTTTTAGCGTTTATTCTGTAAAATTTGTTTGTTCTTGACATTGACTTACAAATAAATGGACGACGGGTCTAATACAAAAACCACGAAAAAAATGTCCCAAGTCAACCTATTCGAAATTTAAATTGTAATGTCATCGCAGTATCGTGCTGTCAGTCGAACAAATGAAGACTAAAGCGAAGTTTGACGCTCTGTATACGATTTTAACGCCTTACAAGTGCGGACACTTTTTAGCGCGGACCCGACGTCCATATAATTGTAAGTCAATGGTTCTTGATTTATAAATTGATTTTTTTTTTCACTATAAATTATCTTGATAAGATATGTAAGGTATTTAATCGATTTTTCTTCATTCGATTTTCCTTCATTACATTTCTAGAAACTTCAAATCCCAAACATCACCGTACCCATGTAAAAAAGATTATAGTCTGATAATATAGCACATAAGACTTAATAATAGCAAATGTTCAAAGCACACAACAAAAGTTTTTATTAAATAAGAACATTTATTCACAGTATCTGTACTTGCTGTTCTCCGACGATTCGTTCCTGCCGCTTGATGAGTGGGTGTTCAACACCGAGGCGCATCCGCTGCCCATCAAAGGCAAGAACCCGCTGTACCGCGCCGTACCGCGGCACATCAATGCCGACGACAACGACAACACCCTGTAGGCACTCTGGCACGTTTCACATTCTTCAACCCTTTTCTTCTTCAGCGAATCAGTCAAATCCATTCGAGAAGAAGCGGAAACTGAGAGAACTGTATTCGTTGTATGGTGTACGATTTTTTGCTCGATGAGTTTGTGATATGTTCGACGGTTGGCTTCAGACATTCAAGCGAATTTTTGTTTTAATATGTCTGGAAATGTGTACTTCAGGGCGTTGTTTTATACGCCCGCCTGTGAAGTAGTGACAGTTGCACAAGGGATAAATTCAACTAGATCTTTTTGACGATATTCAATAACAATTAATTGAAAAGAGTGCCTACCAAATTCTTGTTACGTGAAAAGATAATAAAATAAAAACTATTTAATTGATAATTGAAATGAATAGACAAGCCGTTTGAAACTTTTTAAATTAAACTTGTTATTGAATATCGTCAGAAAAATCTTGTTGAAATTATCCTATGTACAGCGCGACATAACTGTTACGCGACATAGCTGTCACCCCTCCCGCACCGCGCAGCTACCTCAGGGACCGGCTCAATTCAGCGGTAAGCCTGTAGAAGTACCGCCCGTTAATACCCTTTTAAAAGTGATACGAACTCGAGACAGATGTTTCAACGATTTGCTGAATTGTGCTGACAAAATGTAGCGTAACACTTAAATGAAATTGATAGGCGAATTTGTTTTTTAACTTTTTAACCAATAAGAGTGTTGTGTTTATTACAGTTACGTCTTTCTAGGTCCTTTTTTTAATGGCCAGTTTTCTCATAAAAACATTATTGACTTAAAAAAAGTTTTAACGAGAACATAATATCAATTAGAATATTAAGGCCTCTGTTTAAGTGTATAAGACCTACAAAGAGATATTTTTCTGATTTTTTTATTCTACTGATTATTAACATTTAGTTTTATCTATTTAATACAGTATCAATTTTTTTTCAAACAATCTTAATTTGCATTTATAACTTGCCGTATTACCTCGTTACTCTCTCTTTATAGCACTTTCATCCTAGGTCTATATCCCTTTTTCACTCTAACATTAACTTAAAAATCTAGATTATAGACCACTATTCTTATGAACTGTACTATAGAGTAGCATCTTTTATCATGAAAAAGTAATAATTAAAATTAAGATCATATGAGAATATTCTAAAATAATTTTAAACTGATACCGGTATTTCTTGATAGATATTTGACATTTGTTATTGATTGAAGTTGAAGAAAGTGTTGCTTAATTTCGCAGTGATTACAAGTAATTACAATCTTAATTTGGTAATGTACTTTTGAGATTGAGCTGACAAAAAAAAAATGAATTTGTATCACTAGGTTTGGAAATATGGAAATAGTAAAGATGTAACAAACAATCGGATTTAGATCAGAACCAGTTATTTCCATATAACATTTTGTTACACTTTGGTACACCATTATTTTTTTTATAAAATACACTGTCTGCATTTCAAATGATATTCATAGATATTTGAGTGGGTGGGATAGAAAGAAAATGAGGAAAATTACTCATATGTTTAGGGTTTTAAGGTTATTCGGTAAAACATTTAACCAACTAATTTATCACGCCATGTGTGAATTTGTTAGGCAAATTGTTATTCTTTTTATTTCACTCATAGCTATAATAACCGGTTTTTATAAGGCTGATATATAATATGGGTTAACTCTTAATCTTTCTATATTGGTTTTAAAATTAACCTTTAATTTAAACCGGTAACTTTTTATATTCGAAAAAAATGTGTGTTTAATGCTTATAAGTCAATTAGATGAGGTGTATACCGGGTTTAATTTACAAAATTGTTAAGCTGTTCTCTTTTTTACGCACATGAAAGGATTGTAAGGGTGGAAGAGTAAGCTATAGGAATGATAAAACTGTAATGTGAGTATTATCCAGTTTCAGGGTGGTATTAGTCAGGCGTGAATGTAACTTTAGTCGAACATAAATTACTTTAGACGACAGAATTGTAATAGTTATATTTATCGTCAAGAGGTACGGTTGTTCACAGAGAACAATAAATACAGTAGAAGTGGCTTAGTGGCCGTAACACGTGTGCCAACAGTACGTGAAGTTCCACTTACATGAGCTGAGTCCGCCATTTTCGCTTTGTACATTATGGTATTGTCAATTATCTCGCGCAAAACCACAAAAATGTAACAAAAATGCCTTATCTTGCGACTTAGGAGTGCAAAAATTATAGTCGCACCTGTAATTACTATCCATGGTGGTGTTTCTTATCATCGTTAAGTCTTATTTTAAATTTTCTGTTTATCGTAATAAATGTTTTGTTATAAGAAACGAAAGTGAACCTTATGCCGCCGCAATACGATCGCTTCCTTTTTAGAGAACCAAGTGAACATCTCGAATTCGTCGTCGTTCAGCTATTGACCGCTAGATGGCAGCACATTAATTGACATTTCAATATACAATCAAAACGTCGTAACTTGCAATAATAGGCAATGAACTTTCAACAATATACCAAGGAAAATTTTAAATTATATTAACAATCCAGAATTTGTTATATATTTTTAAATTAACAACTACGACCAATCAATAACAAGATTTCATCGCGATTGACATATGATGAGTTTTGGCGACAGCTGTTCTGTAGTAATCCAGGCAGTTCCATTGTTTTTTTTTATTCTTTTGTGGTTGTTCATGTGTTGCGTGCTCTTTGACAGTACTTGTCGGGAATCATGGTGCGAGCAATGCGGACTAAGCCACCTCGGTTTGACCACAGGTTCGAAAGATCTGCCAGGCAACTGCCCTGTATGTGATCATGGTTATGCAAGGGGCATTATATTTATGCGCGAATAGTTCCATTTCGTACGAGTTCTATAAAAATACTCCTAAAAATTATAACTAAAATTCTTGGACTTCCTATAGTAAGTCGTAAACATTTACTAACAGCCGAATTTATTATCATCATGTATATAAACCAAGATTTATTTTAAATATTTATTTACTTGTAATGTGGTGTTGTAATTATTTCGAAGCGGATCTCGTAACTTGGAGTTTTATATCATAATAATTTAATATTTAACTAAATTAGCGAACATATCTGTGAACGGGTTATATGACCGGTTAAAAATATTGCACGTCAGGGTCCTGAAATGTCTAATGAACAATTTTTTTATACTATGTCAGTTTATTAAAACCATTACCATTATAAAATATACAATTCTATCAACCCGACAGGATTCCAAGCTTCGACCATGGTGTTCCGTTCCCATCGCTCTTCCAGCTGAGCTAGTAATGCTAATCCCGTGGTCTTTATATTTAATAATTATAGCAAACTAGTGGAGTTATTTCATAAATGTAAAAACAAATCAATAATGCATGTTCATAAAAATCGACATCAACGTTGACTTGTGGTAACTGGAAAGTTACCGGCTAAGTGAGAATGTTCATAAAATCTCGCACAGATGTCGCTACGGTGTCTTAAAGCAAAAACTCAAAGCAAAGATGAAAAATGGAACAGACACGTCGGCTCGATTAACTCGACCTGTAGCTCAATTGGAAGAGCGATGGGGACGGAATCCCGTGGTCGCAGATTCGAGTCCTGTCTATCGATAGAATGTTTTTTTTGTGTTCGGTCTTTGTATTTCAGGCGTTAATTCACAAAAATTAAAAATAGTGTGTTTAAGTATGTCTTTCTCTTACGAGTGGCATGTTGGTGTCATTAGACAGAGATAGAAGGAATAACAGGTATCACCTAAAATCAGTACAGTAAAGTCGGGTACAAAGAAACAATATCGTCTTGTTTTAATACGTAAATTGACTGTCCTTTGTCATGTCATTATTTCGTTCTAGTGTAGTAATAAAGATGTCACCACACATACGTGCAGTATTTTTGACCTCCCGCGATACGTGTACGATAGTGTAGAACGTAGAATGCCATGAGAATATAATCAAATAATATACAATTAATTGGTACCGGCCTAATGAAGTAAATGTCGAAAACATTAATTTTAAACTCACTTTATAGCGTTAGCGTCTTAAACGGGTTATTATGTGAAATTTCTTGTATAGAACTTCCCTTTTTGGGGTGACTGCAGATCTAGGCACTTGAACGCATCGGCAGTATACTGCATGTTTGTGTTATTTGATCAGACACGTTTAGTACCTAATAATTTTATTAATATGCATTGACTTACAATTATATGGACGTCGGGTCCGCGCTAAAAAGGCGCTAAAATCGTATACAGAGCGCCAAACTCCGCTTTAGTCTTCATTTGTTCGACTGACAGCGCGATACTTCGATGACATTACAATGTAAATTTCGAATAGGTTGACTTGTGACATTTTTTTCGTGGTTTTTGTATTAGACCCGTCGTCCATTTATTTGTAAGTCAATGTTAATATGTGATTTTTAGAATGTGCAAAGTTACATAATATATAATATTACAGTATATTTTTAAATAGAATTCAGCACCTGTTAATGAAGCATTAGAAAACAATTTCTTTATTGCTGTTTTCTGTTTTATTACACGATTTTATTGTTTATTTAAAATTGATTTTGTAATTTAATTGCGCTTATGTGGAATCTTTAGGAAATGAAATGGAAGAGCTACAAGTTCCGTAGCGAGGACTAGAACTCACAACATACAGGCAGTTTGTTCGTATTTATGAGACTTAAGAGATTCTAAGTTGATGGTTGTGTGAATGATCTCGCTACGATACCTGTGGCGTTGAGATTAGAGTTTAGATAATTAAGAAAAACAGGACTGTAGGAAATCTTCTCTGTTCATTTTTCACAGTTTTAGATACTTAGGTTAGTAATTGCAAAGTCCGTTTCATTCTATAAAAATCAATAAAAAAAATTACTTCAGTCTTCGATAAAACATGAAACCGTTTCCTGTTCTGTTTTCCTTAATTATTTATAATTAGACAAAGTTAAATATTGTACATTATGTATATAATAGTCATAGATACTTAGTTCTAGGCATTCAGTGTGTAGGTACTTTAACTTAAGCCGTGTGCAAGATGATTGCTCTAATTTTATTTATACAAGAATATTAATATGATTATTAATTTATTATTATAAAATATAATTGTACACTATAATAATAAATTAATCAAGTGAAATAGAGTACTGCCACTTAAATGTTCTATTAGGAAACTAACATTTTGTATAGTTTTTGTATAAATTATGTCACGATTGTAAATCGAATTAAAGGTATCTTTCCGACTCGCATAATAAATAAATAAATAAAATGTAACTAGATAATTTTCACGTTTTGTATGTCTTGGTATACTTGAATTATTATTTGGCCCCTTTCCAAAATTTCTGCGCAAAATTTTATAAAACAGGACTGGACTGTATATGTCCCTACAACTTCTTTTAAAAGGTATAATCATGCTTTGCAGTTCTTCACATGTTGAAATCCACATTATACACTAAATATGCTGGATACACTTTGAAAAAAATCTCTTCATCTCTAATACGAATCATAATTAGATGTCCAAAATGTAAACAAACAAATGTCATAAAATGTATTGTCAGTGTGAATGCAGGTATACTAAACATTCTATTTTTAACGAAATTGGACAAAATGGGGTTGTCATTTTCTTCAATTTTAATTGTCTATTACAAAATATTAACTAACAATAAATAAAAACTTTAACAGCAACACACTATTTTAACAAACGCACTACGGAGACAAGAAAACGTTCGAGTTCGAGAAAAAAGCTCGAAAGACATCTGTGACACGACAAAATGGCCGCACAAAAAATGTTTTTGATCCCGTTTGTGTTACCAAAGTAACAAAAATTATTATCGACCTTACGTAGTATTTTCTTATATTTAATGTATTAAACGAAGTTAAGTAAAATATGTATTGCAAAATATGAATTCTTTATATTTTGGACAACTTCGAAAGATTCATACTATAGTTTCTTTGTCCTTTACTTTTGCACACGCACGCATTTGTGCGGTGTTCTTTTTTATATTGTAAACTTCAGTAGTGCCAACATGAAGATATAGTCGTCCATTTAACTGTTTGCACACGCAGTGATGTCAGCATTCCAAGTTTTTGTTATTTACTTTTGTATATTAATAATTTTAAAGACCGCTTTACTGAAGAAAAGTGTGAATTTACTACTTGATTACCCTTTGTCGTATATTTTAGTAACAACCTTTATATAATTATTAATACAAAGATCAAACACTCAAAAATATTCATTCGATTCGGCGGATTCGAACCGACGTCTCCTAGTAAAAACCGTACCAGACGCTATGCCAACTATGCCACGGAACGATCCAACGGACCCCACGATTGTAGCGCCATCTATGAGAATTCTATGAAAGTATTTCGTCACCCATTTCTTTTATTACTCATAGATGGCTCTACGCGCGCTAAAGTCATTGAAAACCAAATACAATTATCCGACAACAAGCACATAGAAAAATTCGTGAGGTCTGCTGGTTCGTTCCGTGGCTT